ATAATATTGTTTAAAAGAAAATTAATTCTTGTTTTGAATACATCCCTAGTAGCACAATTCATCGGCGCAACATTGGCCCAACATATCCCCAATGTATGCCAACGTTTAACCAATGTTTGCGCCAATGAATTGTGCTGCTCGGGATATTAATAAGTTTTTCCAAAATTTGTAATAACTACATTTTAACATTATTATCAAAAAAATATTCTTTGTCAAAGATGATTGTTATTTAGAAGAAAGAAAGTAAATTGAATAATCACTTTTTTGGCAATAAAATGATATTTTCCTAAGTGTAAAAGCAAGATAGAAATAGTTTGCTTTTCATGAATGAAAATAAATTAAATTTACGGCAGAAATAAAAGTATTTTGTCAAACTCTTCTCACACTGATTTATGTATGATAAATAATTGTACGTAAATGAAATATTCAACGCACATTTAGGCTTTTTATTAAAACTATTCACTTCTTATCAAAAGTATTCAATTATGCAATTTACATTTTACATTTCGTCGGACATTGAATCACAAGCGAGAGGAACGTGGCATTCTGTTTTTATCGCGTTACAAATTCAATTTTTCACAGTTTACCATAAATGTTGTCAGTTGCGTAATGGGAACCGTGTTGAATTACCACGCTTGCGTTCTTCATAAAGGTACATTTCAACGGATAAGCCAAGACAGTACACCGGTGTAGTATACCGGTGGTTAGCAGAAAAAGCGGAAACTTTCGGAGCGAGATATGTATAATACGAAGTAGCAACGGCAGCGGTGTTGAGTGTGCAGAGAAAACTAAAGAACCAAGCATCCGCCCTTAGGTATCATTTCGAGCATGTAATGCATCCGTGCACCTACGTGCGGTCTCACCCCTTTTCTTTTCTCTTCTCGACGGCTTTCACGGTTCCATGAACCCTTTCGAACGTGTCCGCGATGCGATCGCAAACGATAGAGTGTCCCGAAATATTTTGACCGCACGATCCTCTTCATTCTTACAGCGAGCTATTTCAAGCGTGCTTCTGACAGATGAACCAAGAGAAAATATGATAATAATAGCAATAATTTTAAAACATATATGAATAACACTAGTCGACAAAATTTTAATTTTTTTATGTTAAATTGATATGAAAGAATGTTCCTTATATATTTATTTCCTTATATTTTCCTTATACTTTTTGCGCTAATTTTAATTCTATTTTTTAAATTTATGAGAAGAATTTTTAAATAACATTTGAAAATTCCTATGCATATCTCTCTTGATCTTTTCTGCTTAGAATAAATACATAATTTAAAATAAAGAAATGTCTATTGAATTTAACATGATTTTTTTTCTACTCATTATAAAAGGTTTCGAATAAATCATTTTAATTAAGAAAAATTCTCCATGTATATATAACGAGCTATTAGCAAAATATATGTTTTTTAAAGATATATCGATTATAAAAAATTGGAACCCAATAGGATAAATTCTCAACATTAAAAATCAGAATTAAAAAATACTTAAAATACATAAGAATCAGTCAGAATTATTTGTGTAACCAAATCATTGTGCGAGCGTGTATAATTTGTGTAACGTTCTTTAGAAATTGATTTAATTCCAAGGGATGGCTCAGCGTTGAAAGAGAAAGTGAGTATATAGGATAAGATATAAATTTCCTTTCTCACGCAATGCGCACGTATATCATGATAATGAAAAACTTCCGACTGAAAAGAAAGAGAAGACTATAATTTGCTGTTACCGCGAAAAAATTTCGTTTATACATGTTACGGTAGTCAGCGGCTCGGTCGCGTCATCGGTAATTTTTGCGCGGGAGTTTCGCGAAATTACGAGGAACTTAGGGCTAGCTGACAATTGTGTGCGAACAACACGCAAACTCCCCTAAACCGACACGCTGCACTTTCGTGCAGCCGCCAGCGGGTGCCGCTTCGCAAACGGCGAAACTAGACGCAACACACAACACCGGCTCGGCCATCTCTCTTTGGTATTACTTCGAGCATGTAATGGAGCTCACCAGGTCGACGGGAACCAAAAGGTGCATCCTTTCCAGGCAAATACCACCGTGGTACCAGCAGCAACGCGAGAACAAATATTTGATAGGACGAACGGTGCATAAACCTGTACCGGGACTGAAAAGCAACGCTAGCAAATATGCGAGATCGGGAGATCGATGTTTATAACATTATATAATAATATTCATGTAATATCTCGTGAATTTATGTAGAAGGTCAATCAGAAACCCGAAGTGATAGCCACACAATTTTGAACATCCATTTTAATAATAAAATAATCTATCACTAATACTTTTATGAATATTTATAATATTGAATATATAAAACGTTTCCTTTTCTAATTGAATTTAAATTTTTCATAGATAATAGAAATTAATTTCAAGTTTTAATCATGTTTGTTAAATTAATCAACAGTAAAATCATATTTTGAAATAGATAGAATTATGAAGTACATCATAGAAATTACAAGAATTTCAAATACTATTTTTATTAATAAAATAGTCGCCGGCGCTTCAGCAATATTGAATATTTAAAATAAGCACATTTTTGGTCTAATATTTCTACCTTCATTAAATAATAAAAATCAATTTTAGATTTCAATTTTATTAGTTGAGCTAATGAAGAGAGACTAGAACTAAATTTTAAAACAGTATTTACGTTTATAATTAACTAGAACAATAATTAAAAAAATTTTAATGAGATAATCACCATTGTTTTAACAATATTGAATATATCCATTTTCTGAAATATATTTATATCTTTTTTAAACAATACAAATTAATTTTAGTTTAGCGTTGGTTGTGTCGATTCAAATTTAAAGTTTTAATTAATTTATATATGCACATAATTAATGTCACAAATGAAAAGACTTGATAAAAAAATATACTACAATCCCAATCGGGCGAATCTCGCAACAAGATAATAATCTTTAATACTTATTACTAAGTACAGAAAGAATAATCTTTGCGTTAATTTGCAATCCATTTTGTACTCATGAAAAATAGTATTTTCGCAATGTTCCTTCAGTACATACGATGTGTGTATTTGTCCGATGAGAAAAGAAAAACAGAATTTCTGAGAGAATATAACATTTCTTTAGCACAAGCTTTAATTACATTTCCATATGTATGATATCTATATAATTTATTTATATCCTAAGTTTAATTATGTCCATATAATTTATAAACGTATATACATTAATTTACTTTGCTACATATATATTCAATTTTGTCTAGCATACATGTATGTAGAGAAAATGAATAGAAATAGGGGACGTGACATTTTGCAATAAATCTTGCGTAATGAAAAGCCCGAAATGCGTTCCTACTTTCGGTAAATGCACGCTTCCAGTGGAAATGCAATACCTCACTCACGACTCATTAACGGATTGAAATCCGATGACTATAAAAGGGGTACACATTTGCAATATTGCACCTTTTAATGCTCCCAAATTCAAAAAGTTTATTTCGATAAAAAGGAGGATCGATATCGTGAAAAATTGCCTGAGCGTAAGAAAAAAAACAGAGGACAATGTGTGTGTGTGTTGTGTGTGTGTGTGCTCTCACTATTTTTCAAAGTTCTTCGACTGCGTTTTTCGCTGGTAAAAGAAACTGCTTGTGTACACGATCTTCGACGCTAATTAGTATATATTCTTTGCGAATTACTCGACGGTAATTAACGAGTTCCCAAAATAAACGACGTTCAATCCATCGTCAAATTTGCTACGGTATAATATTATTTTAATTCAACGAGGATGATCTCGTCATGGAACGCTAAGAGAAAATAAATTGTCGCAAACATCGAAAAAGTATTTCTTCTTATTCGAGAACACATCGCATTTTATTAAAATCTTTTAATAGTGTTAATATCTTTTAATATATGTCCATTATACGGTTTTTTATACGCATATAAAATTACGCCCCGCGTGAAAGAAAACAAATAAAATAATAGTACGAGTATATGACGTTGATGAAAAGTACATCGCGCTTTTATAACAATCTAATAATAAGTTCTATATCCCACTATATCTTACATTTCTCCATGACATGATACAATAAACGGATTCCGATTGCATTATTTTAAAATAAAATCGAAAAATAGAGAAAAAAGTTTTATAATTTCTTGTCCGATTTTTGCAACGTTTTTACTTTCTAAACGTCATACTTTCGATAAGGTAATTTTCGTTTAGTTACGGCTAGATCGTTTGTCCGCGAGTACACAGAGGATGGGTAAAATTACACAAGGAACACAGACGTTACATTTAGCAAATTTGACAAATCCTTGCTTGCTCACCGATCATTAAGCTGAGTTGACATAAAGCGCAGCCTCCGGGTCGAACAACAGTGTTTTCATTTCTGCCGCGTTTACCATTTATTCACCCCGTGCAATTTGCGTGAACAGCATTTGCAATTTATTAACTCTCGGCAGTTAAATATGCAATAGGCGTTGTAATAAAGCGTCATGTTAAGTAGTCAATGTATCATTTATTAATAAGGTACTTCGAACCTACAACAAAGTAATAGCTGCATACGTAATCGCTAATCGATAAATATTATTTTACGATTAAGGTACAAACAAAATTTATCACAGTAAGTAACAATACTTCATAAAAATAGTGTCATTGCACCAGTTTATCCACAGCACACTTATGCATTAAGAAAGATACAAGTGAGATACTAAAATTAATGTGAAAAACTAGATATTAGATTAATGTGAAAAATATGAAAAGCAAATTCATTTTACAATACAATAATATAAATTTCAATATTTTCGATATACCAAAATAACAATACACTTATTTTAATATCACCTTATGGCTATCGATATTTTTTCATTATTACGATTAAGATCAATAAAATAAGCTTATTGTTTTAAATATAACGCAATATGCTTATAAACTACTAATATAAAAATGAATTATTAATTTAAAACTAAATGATTATTAATAACATAAAATCATAAGAGAAGTACTGTATATGCAATAGTGCGAGAATACTATTAGTAATCTTTCTCTTCTTTCTTGACACATTCCACATCTAAATCTGGTTTTTTATTTTCACACTGACATTTTTCTATTCTATTCCGTGATGCATCGCCTCCAGCAAGATCTATGAAATAATAATAATCATTTTAGTATTTATAGAAATTAGAAATTACAAATATCGTGCTATTTTCTTTAGCATTACCATTATTTTGTTCCAACATGATTCGTTTCATTTTTTTTGATTCTTTCAATTTTTTTTTGGAAGCTCTCTATAATAAAAATATGTATATAGATTTGAATATATTTATAATATTACAAAAATTTTGAATTATACAGGATGTCCCATTTTAAATGCATTAAAATTTTTCGAAAAAAACTGATAGATACGGAAAAATGTTTCAAACAAAAGTTGTTTCACAAATCTCAATGGAAAATATATTTTTTTTTCTAATGAAATGCCACAATATAGAATCAAAATATAAAAAGGTTTTGATAATAATTAAAAAAGTTATGCCAAAGAATAGTAAAGAACAATTTGTAAAAAGAATGCAATAATCGGCTTTTTTTCAAAAAATCATATCTTTGTGATAAAAAAAGATACAAATAAAAATAAGTAGTATTTTGAAAAGGAGAAAATGTAAACTTTAAGAAAAAAAATATATTATATTGATTCATTCCAAAAAGTATAATTATTTGCACGAGTGTAATGGGGGCATTTTTATACATGCTCGGAATAATGATACGAGCATCGGAGGTATGTTGGGTATTTTCTTCTTTAATGCAATGAAAATATTTTATATTAAATATATAATTTCGATATTATTTACTCACGATTTTATAACTTCGAGAAAATAGAACGATCATTTCGCCAAGTCGCCTGTCTTGCAAAAATGCTTTTTTTGACAATGAATATATGTTTTAATTATAAGACAACACATATACTTGAATACAACACTAATAAGCAGATACTTATTAAAAATGAATTTTCACTTTCGGCAAAAATCTCTCGAATTTACATTTGACAGGTCCAAGTCACCCAAGTCAAACTTTTATTGTATCACAATTAGCATCAAGACAACAACGAAATAATTGCATCGCGGCGATCGACAGAGAAAGATTCCAAGTTTTTTACCCCCTCATTTTAACTCTGCAATATTAAACCGTACAAAAATTGCGGCCGATTAAAATTTTCACCCGAGTCCAAATGACTCACTCATGTAGTTGAGGGTTGAGTACTTTTCGAGTTATAAGGCTTGAAAGTTACAGTAGTTTTTCCTTTTATTTTCATTTTTGCACTAAAAATTCATTTCTACGTAAAAATGAAAATAAGAGATACAACCTCCAATGGCCTTGATATTGACAAATGTTATCCAGATCATGATCCTGAACAACATTCAAGAGGTTAGCCGTCGGACGAACACCTTGGGTAATGCTAATGCCGGCGATACTGTAACTTTCAAGCTTTATAACTCGGAAAGTACTTAATAAAAATGAATTTAATTATAATGTTTTGGAAAGCTCTCGAGACTAGCTATAAGAATATATAATGAAAAATAGGGGTTTCATTTAAAAAATTCAAAGTGATCTTGACCTGACCTTAACGACACCACCCAAGGTCAAATCAACGGTACCTTCTTATGTCCCCTCCGAATCATACAACTTTTGTTTGAAACATTTTTCCGTATCTACCATTTTCGAGAAATTTTAATGCATTATTTAAAATGGGACATCCTGTATATATAAATTTTTTTTCTGAATATTACAACTAATTTAAAACCGAACCTAACGAAAAAAATTAATAATTTGAAAAATAATAAAAATATAGTTAATACCTCGTAAACCCGCTCAACGCGGTCTTGATTTTCGTTGGAATTTTGTCTACCTTGCAGTATAAATCTGAAGAATGGTCCAAAACCGAAATTAATAGATCCGCCAATCCAGGAAAACGGTATCAATATTATACATATGCAGATGCTCAAGAACAAAGCAATTGTGATAATAAACCTGTTCAAAAAGTTTAGTTTACCTATGAAACAATGCATGATGTAGTTAATAAGTCAATAATATTTGAACCTCTATACATTATTGACAATAATAAGCAAATTACAATACTCACCGGTAGCATTATCTATAAATTCAGATATAAGAAGTCCCAAGTATGATAAAGGCAAAATAGCCGTACTGAACATATGAGTCATTACAAGCATTGGTGTCACTTGCAGTCTAGGATTCGTCATAATTGTTTCATAGTATTTTTCACAATCATTTGTAGCTGTGAATAGATTTTTACTTAAAAATAATACATTAATGTCTCGAATACATCTCATATTATAAACACTACTCACAAGAAAACATTCCATGTATCTTGTCCCAAAGACTCATTTTATGTGGCTCGCAAGCAATTGGCATTTCTATAAATTGTGTTTGTGCTGCCATTAATTTAATTTCTGCTTCCTGCAAAATAAAACAATTTTTAAAATAAAAAAATATCTGCAGTCATTTCGTTCAAAATACAAGTATATACGAATCTTCCAAACATTTCATTACACTATAAAGATTTTAAATATAATCAATATACAAATGTATATATATATATATATATATACATAGTAAAGAAAATTATAGTAATGTCCCACTGAAATAATTTAGGATGTTAATCAGATCCACATTACTAGATATATAAACTCAAAATATAAAAATGTATCTTTTAATATTATATATGTATATATATATATATATATACTAAATTATTCTTACGTGGTTTTTCATAAATGATGTATAATGTGTCAAATACTCTGTGTTACTCAAAAGTAAATTGAAATAATAAAAAGCATCAGCCATATAATCGCATACTGAGTGTTCAGATTGTGTTATCGTATTGACAAGAATTCTGTCAACTTCTCTGATAGAACCTTGACCATTCACAAAATTCTGCAAGTATTCAAATTCCGAAGAAAACACTTCTATATTAAGCGTTCCAGCTAATCTATCATCAGTTCTCTGCAAACAAAATTTATCTCATCTTATCTTATATATAAATAAGAAATTTTTATATTGAATTTATCAAGCTATTACAAATGGTTTTATTCTTCCAATGGCTTGATTCTTCCAATTATATACAACTTACTTGCATCTTAAGCTTTGATAATAATATGGCAATCAAACGTTTGTAGAAAATTGCTTCCTGAGTATTTCGTTCATCTGGTTCTTTATAACTGTATGACTGTGATATGGCAAATGATTGATTCTCCTCCATCTCTGCCACTGGACTAAAATTTAAGAGAATCAAAATGATTTATTAACCTCAAAATTTTATATCTTATATAAAATAATATAACTTACCTAACTAAATCTTTTTTTCCAAACTCGAAGAAGAACGATTCTATTTTTGAAAGCTCAGGTCTGAAATGAAAAATACATTCATGTAGAAGATCTAAAATAAAAATATTTATATGTTTACATAAAAATGCAATTAATATATTTATGTCTTGCAGGAAAACTTTTGTAATTGTATGCAGTGAATGGATTTTGTTTACTTAAAAGTAATGAAGAAAATAGCAAGCACATATATAGTTTGGGAAGAAATTATATATGCTACATATATAATATCGCAACGAACTTATTTCTGGCAGTAAAATGTGCACTAGACGCCAAAAATACTCACGGTATGACATCATTCTTATCGCAATAGCAATTCAAAAAGAATGCACACAGAGCTACAATGTAAATTGAATTTTGCGGAAATTGCATGTTGTATCAGACGCTTCTACGCAATCTTTAAAAATGCCATTCTACTATGATAAAAATCCGAGATAAGTAAAATGTTTTCGGAGACAATTATTAGAAAAACATATGCTGGTACAAAAAAATATGATTTTTCTTCTTCCTCTTCTTCTCTAAACAGTCAAACAAGTCGGATTTCAATGGGTGCGTTCAGCAGAACGTTTGTTTTGCAACTGTTGTAAGTTTCCTTCGCGCTAATTGGATCATACTTTTAGATCTAGAAGAATGGTCCTATCTCAGCAGACAATCATAAAACGGTTGCAAAACTGTTGAGTCTGCTGAACGCAGCCACTGGCTGCGTTCAGCAGAACGTTCGTTTTGCAACTGTTGGAAGTTTCCTTCGCGCTGATTGGATCATACTTGTAGGTCTAGAAGAATGGTCCTATCTCAGCAGACAATCATAAAACGGTTGCAAAACTGTTGAGTCTGCTGAACGCAGCCAATCTCTATTGCGCGACTGCGAGATCAAGCACGATGTGTACACTATCAAGAAAGCTTGCGGAATAGCGTGGAAGCCCCGACTTTAGGGCTGCGTTCAGAATCGTCGTCCGGACACACTCAGATGTCGTTTTATCCTTGTTATTCACGAATGTTAAACAAGGATAAGAGAACATCTGGGTGCAGCCAGATGATAATTCTGAACGCAGCCCAAAATAGCGGGATTCTCTAACTTCCTATCGACGATTGTCGCTATCGTTAACTGTACTTATCGATAACTTTCGTTATGAGTAATTACGAGTGATTCTGTATCGAGGTTATCGATATTTCTTGTTAAATCAAATCGTTAAGTTCCGAAAATTGTTGTTACGTTCATGATGTAATAAGACAGGTGAATTTAATTTAAATTTAATTAAATAATATTACATTGTTCTTTTTCATTTTAAATTCGCCATAGAAAATTGACCAATCACAGTTGATTATTCTTCTCATATTCGACTGTGATTGGTCAATTTTCTACGACTTAAGACCCTACGACTGCTACGACTTCTATTGTAGACTCCGCATTAAGTTCCAAAAGTGTACATACATACACCAATTCAGCCACAGAAAACAGATCTAATAGTGGTAATCACGTGGCCTGTTTTTTTGGTTGAACTTTTGCACCAGTTCATCTTTCTTCCTCTTCTTTCTTCCTGGAGAGAAAAAGAAGAAAGATGAACTGATGCAAAAGTTCAACCAAAAAGAATAGGCCTATAGATATTACCAAACATTAAAAGAAAATACCCTCCTAGAACCTAGTACTCTCGAATCGATTGTCCGATCGACTGATAAAATATCTGTAATATATTTTGTATATATACCATTCTTTCTCTCTTATTTATTACAATTATTCCTAACAATGATTTTATTAAATTAATTATATATTATAAATATTAAATATTAATAAATATTTATGAAAGTATTAAAATAGGATACATCATATTTATCGATCAGAGAAACAATATGGGTTCTATCTTATTATAATTTACTAATTTTTTTTATCACATATATTATGCATTTGCATAATATACTCTTTTCACACTTCTAATCCTAAAATCCTGAAATCTTAAATAACATTCTTTGTATCGATAACTAATTACAATTAAAATACTGTTACATATATGAGTTTATTGATATAATACATCCATCTACATTTTTAAGATTTCTGTCGCCTATTTTCTTACAAGAAATTCACACGTGATAAGGTAATATAAAAGAAAAACGAAGGAAAAAAGTATGGCTGCTTTAATATCGAAGTAATAATGGTAAAAAGTACATTATCTTCAATGAGTCATTATTCTCCTCTCTCGTGTGTATAATAGTACTTTATTCAAAATAAAACTTAAATTAGATTTCTGTAATCTAGATCGTTGATTTAGTATATAACACCGAGTATCATTTAACAATCTTGATCTTATAATTATTCTTAGATAGTTTATTCTCAGGTTTCACTTCACCGAATCTGGCCTTTCTTTTCTCCAATCGTTCAGCCATCTCAACCTAAAAGAAACAAAAGATTAAAATTAAATCAGTGTGACAGAAAAATGATGTATATAAGGGCGATCAAAATTCTGATTAAGTTAATTAACTATTTTATTAAATAATACGAATATAAAACTTATATTAAAATTATATTTAATATATCAAAAAAAAGATTAAGAATAACGAACTGTATATTAGAGACTTTGTGTTAAGCGATTCTGCTGATAGAGTCAATTGTCGATTTAAGGGGGGACATCACCTTTGAGGTTTCAAAAAATCGAAAATTTTTTTGCTTAAATTTATAGTTTATACTTTTAAGAATATTTCAATAGTTTTAAGTCGGCATCTCAACTGTATACTCCCGTTAGAATCAAAATCTTACAGCTCCTCACCTCGCCGTTGAGTCTTCCCCAAGCGGCGGACATCGCGCAGTAGAACTCCGCAGATAAAAGGAAACTCCAAATTTTCGAAGAAATAGGTTTTGGCAGATAGATGTTGCTACTTGTAAAGTGTATGGCGCAGGCGCGCATTGCAGATTAAAGGCACAATTCCGATTTATAATTTTATAAGCAAAAAATCAGTTCTGAAAACTTTAAACGCTTTTTTCTTAAAACAAGTTTTTTAAAGTCGGTATATACTTTACGATGATAACTTTTACAATTCTTAATCGGTTCACTTGAAATTTGCACAGGTTACTTTCAGATGTTTAATCTAGTGAAGTACGTAGGATTTTTGTGATATATTGAAAACTTTTTTGTTATTAATATTTAAAGATGGAAATTTTTGGTCGAAAATCATATTTTTTTTCAAACATTAATCATTTTTTTCAAAAATCAATATTTTGAAAAAATCCTACGTACTTCACTAGCTTTAAGTATGTAGAAAAGAAAATCCTTTGGATTTTTGTTCCAGATCCAAAGGTGTACAAAATTCCGTATACATCGCATATGCACTCGCCAAAAAGGAGGCTCAATGCTGCTAATATAATGTCGCCATTTTGAGAAGAAAATTAAAAAAAATTTTTTTGTACTCTCGAAAGTTGATATATTAAAGCCCTTCAAAACGATTTTTGATTGACTCAATTTACTGCAAAAAATTGCCGAAGTTAGGTATCATTTTTAGGCCTCAAGGGTGGTGTTCCCCCTTAAGTAATTAAAGTTTGTCGAAGTCGCCCTAATGCCCGTCTTTACCAATGTGGATTAACTTTAATCTTGGTTTAACGTATTTTTGTATCTTTTCTTAGTTCTAAGAATTAGATAAAAACGAAAAGTAAGTTAAATCGAGATTACAGTTAATCTATGTTAACAAAAATAAATGTAAGTATTGTCCCATGATTTTTTACGTAATGTAATTAGAGACATTTACTATTATACGTTTACTATTATGTATGTGGAACTCAATTTCGATATGTCCCATGAAACGCCAAAAAATTCAATAGAGTACATAATAACCAATCATATCTTTATATTCTTTTAGACTATTCGAACAGAAATAGCAAAAGTCATAATTCATTGATATGTAATACATTCCATGGGACATATGGAAATGAGTTTTGTGTAATGCATAACGCCTCTAGTTAATTACGCGATAGATATTATAGGAAAAAGCTGTGCCATACATCCTAAATTTTCAAAATCTATGCATATATCTGCAGAGGTAAGAAACCATGGCATACACAAAAAATTTAAGCAGTAAAACATAAGCAGTAAAAAAATTAACTAATCGCAGTAGCGACCTTAAGGTCATAACGTAAGCAGTGGCAAATCCAACATATTGATTTCCTTACTACTTAAAGACTTTCTACAATAAGCCATTACCTAAACTTAAGTCTTAAGCCGTAAGAAATTAACCAATTATAGATATATATCGATTATTCTTCTCATATTCGTTTGTAATTGACAAATTTCTTATGGCTTAAGACTTAAAGATTAGATAATGGCTTATTGTAGAAAGCCTCTTACTATTTAAGTTTTTCTGTATGTCATGATCTAATTCTATTTTTACTTACCTTCTCCATCAAAGTAGATACTGAGGTACCAAATCTTTCTGCACGTTTCTTCAATACTTCATATGTAGTAGGCTACGAAAAATTTATTGATAATTGTCATAAAATAATTCTGTAAATTATTATTTTATCTTGATAACATAAACTATACCGTAAACTATAAATTTCTTACCACGGGTATCTTTATGGATGCAGCCGATTTATTATTTTGATTATTTACGTTAAAACGAGCTAATCTAGCCTCCTTTTTTGCCGCTTCCGATAATGGCATTCCAAATTTCTTAGCTCTCATTTCCAATCTCTGTTAAAGAATTAATACACTCATGTATTAATAAATAATATAAAACAAGCACGCTTGCATTGTGTATTCGAAGCAAATTCGAATTTTATTACTTGATGATCTAATGGATAAGAATAATATAATTTTTAGCTACCTCTTTTGTGCTGAGCTCGGATAGTTTAATAATTTTTTTCTCCGGCGGGGCGTCTTCGATCACTTTTGCTCCTTTATTTTCATTCTTCTCCACTTGGTCATTCTTTATTTCCTCCAATACAGATTTGCGGTTAATCCAAAATTCTTATGTATGTATTTAAAACAGAAATTAATATATATATATATTTAAATTTATTATTAATTATTATAAATTATTATTATTAATATTGTAACACCTATACAGTACACTTACGCCAAGTACTTCATCTTCATCTAAAATCTCTTCCGTAGTTTCATCCAAGGACAATGCAGCATCTATAAAATATAAATAATTCTTTCACAAAAATATGCCTAAGATACTTATATTAAAAGAACTGAAATAGAGCAAAAACAGAACCTCCGTGAATTGCTAGCTGGAGTCTTTCTACCAATTCATTTTTATTGCCTGTAGTGGGAAGTCCTCGTTGCTTCAATTCAGCCCTTAGATCAGCTACCTGAGAGATACAGCAATGTAATAGAAATTAAAAGAATTAAAAAAAATGTTTTGAAATGGCATATATTTCATCCTGTTTCAACTGCAAAAATTATAATTAATTAAAACCACAGAGTCCGTATTCATAGTCAGACCTTATACTTAAGATTTCCTTAAATTTATTTTTAGATGCTCGGTAGCCAATGAAATAATTCGTAGAGCATCTGAAGATAAATTTAAGGAAGCCTTAAATATAAGGCCTGACTATGAATACGGACCTTAGTCTTAATCAGTGAAGTGGCCAATCAGTGTTAGTCGTATAAGTTCGCTGTTAGTCAACTTTACTTATAAGACTTAGGACTACTGACTCATTATGGAATCAGAATAAGACCTAAAATTTAGATGATGGCTTATTGTAGAAAGCCTATAAGACATTACTTAAGGTCTTAAAATAAGAATGGACTGCCCATAATCTTACAAGCCTGTTTTAACTGATTTTCTACTTTTATATATATATATATATATATACATTAAGATTGGAGTAAAAAAACATGTTTTAAACAGTTTAAAACATGCTAAATTGATGTTTTTAATATGTTTTTTTATAGTACTGTTTAAAACATATTTGAAGCATTAAAAACATATTTAAGAAGAAACACAGTGTATCTTTTATTCTTTAAAAAAAACATTGTCTTTTCAACCCTGATATATATATATATATATAATGGATTATTTTATAATAAGAACAATGAGAAATAAAATTGAATTATAATATTAGATACAATAAATAAAACTATCCATTTGTTTATACACTTAATTATGTTTCTCTACTATTACTAAAGACAGTTATAATCTTACAAATATATTTTAACTGACTTTCTGTTCTTCCATCAAGTATTTTATAATAAAAACAATGTGATAAAATTGAATATCATCTACCATAAATGAACCATTTGTTTGCTGGTACTACACTTTATCACGCTTTTCTACTATTAAAGCAAACATAATCAGCCTTACAATTCCAAGTAATTGTATATTTTACGTTATATGTTATAGTCGGCAATAACATCGGTCACCGGTGACCATCATTAAAAATCGACAGCGGAAGTGAGTGCGATCAGGAGCAATCGGGATCAATCGGAAGCCACGACTTTCTAGGCTCGAGAAAGCTTGATTAGAATATCACCGAGAAACAGCGAGTTGTGCGGAACAAGGAGTTAACTTATGACATTCACCTTCATCTTCGACAGTTCAGTTAACCCTTTCTCGTAGGACGAATCGGCCATCGTGCATTCAAATTTTTTCCGAATCACAAGTACGCTACTGATGGTCGATTAGCATCTCATCGCCACTTACGAGCGTTTGTTTCTTCGTATCTTTCACTGTTACAGCCTTCGCGTAAATGGAACCAAAACCAAATGGAACGACGACACGACTCACACGACCGGGTACAACACGCCTGTTTAGCGGTAGTTACAGTGATGCAACCGATGCAACCGTTTACGAACGCAATCGATCGATTGAAGGACAAGTACACCGTAAAAATAACCTAAAAATGAGATTGTAAAAGCGAGAAAACAAATTGTATCTTTTATTATTATAGTTATTTAGAGAGATGCGTATTAATTATTAACTATTTTTTTCCTTAGTTATCGCAACTCTTGAAGAAGTGCAACGCGGTGCAACGTTTTAAGTTGGCGACACTGATCGTGCGACAGCAAGCAGCATCATAACCTTCAAGATAAACCTTGATGAAACGTTAATCTGTTGAAATGGTTGACGAGTCGACGAAGAAGACTTTGAGTAATATTCCGTTATTGCAAACGAAAGCCGGCCCCAGAGACAAGGATTTATGGGTACAGAGATTGAAAGAGGAATATCAGGCTCTGATTAAGGTGAGAGAAATGACTCTTTTTCACTTGCAAACTTATAAATGTCACACTTCCATATGGAATAGTTTTTGTGTTGCTTAATTTATAAATAATATAATATAATTCAATTTTTAGTTGATAAACGTTGAAAATTAATTTATGTGGCGAGACATTATTGAACAGCATATTTATCCCAAAAATATTTTACGTAATAGATTTAAAATGATTGTTAACTGTGTTCAGAATGTTTATTTTGCAACTGTTGGAAGTTTTCTCCCCTGAGACTCTAGATAGTCTAGATCTAAAAGTACAATCCAATCAGCACAAAGGAAGCTTTCAATTAATACATAGATATAAGCTGGTATTCATAGTCAAGATCCTTATATTCTTATATTCTTCTATATATGAAGATTCTTATATTCAAGATCGTCTTAAGTTCAGTCTTGAGATGTCGCGAACCAATCAGAGAGCTGCATTAGCGTATTAAGACATTACTTAAGATGGTCTTGAAATAACAACCAACTATGAATATCGGCCTTAATCATATAATTTTTTATTGTAGTATGTCAAAAATAATAAAGAAGCAGATAACGATTGGTTCCGGCTGGAATCAAACAAGGAAGGCACTAAGTGGTTTGGCAAGTGTTGGTACATTCAGAATTTCCTGAAGTATGAATTTGAAATAGAATTTGATGTGAGTAGCGTCACTTTTTGCTTTTTTCTTACTGTATTTTTTATTTAAAGAGAAAAAAATATTACCTCTAATATAGAATTCTATTTGAATAATATTTCGTCAATATTTATTATAATAAAAAAGTTAAAATTATTAAAACTAAAAATAAATCAATATTTAAAAAACTTGGTTAATATTTTTTCCTTCTTGGACAATGCTAGATTCCCATTACGTATCCCACAACAGCACCTGAAATTGCTTTACCAGAATTGGATGGTAAAACTGCAAAAATGTATAGAGGTGGTAAGATCTGCCTGACTGATCACTTCAAGCCATTATGGGCTCGCAACGTTCCCAAGTTCGGTATTGCTCATGCAATGGCTCTAGGTGTAAGCTAAATACTTAATTACATACACTTAATAATTAAGAGCATTATAATCCTTTGGAGCTTTTGACAAAATCTGTAACGCAGTTACTGACATTTGGTCTGTAAGATCTACTTAATTTATATTAATTATAATAAAAGGCACGAATTAATTTCAAGAAACCAAATTAACTTACATGAGAAAGAATTAATAAATATATTTTAGTAAGAATAACCAAAATTTGCAGATGTAACATAAAGAAAATTGAATTGATACTTTTTATAAAGAAATTTATAATTGAGTCCATATCAAGATTTAAAAGACTTATAAATTTTTGTATCGAGATACTTACATAAAAGATTCTAGCGCCAAGTTGTTTCTTTATTTCAGTTGGGACCATGGCTAGCAGTAGAGATTCCAGAGCTTATAGAAAAGGGCATCGTAGTGCACAAGGACGAGGGAAAAAAATCGTGAAGTGGCAACGTGCAGAATGGCAGAAATAACAAAATGCGAATGTTGAATAAATTAATTTTTTACACTTATCATTCAAAAGGAAGAATTTATACATGTTAAGTTTTTACGGTACAGAGTATTATTTACATTGTTCAAGGCGCGATCAAATAAAGACTATTTAATACAGGCTATTTATCATCGTCGTCCAGTTTTATCTTCTTGCTTTCTTTGACAATTTGATCGAGCCTGTACAAATCCTTGAGCGATACTTGTCCCGTTCCCCTCCTAAGAGGCTTCGGTTGAGACTCGTCTGGTTTCCATCCCAACATATATATTATCTGAAACGTGGCGGGAACAAATGCTGTATTATCTTCTCTCGTTTTTCCATAAAGCTCCTTGTATATAGATGCGGCTGCGATTAGCGTATCCCTCGGCAGATGCAAATTGCGATTTCTAGCAGCATTATTCTCAGCCATTCCTAGATAATAAACTTGCGTAGTATATTTACACGCCTATTATATAATTTTTATTCAGTCAAGAATTTTATGTAACGTTATTTACCTTTCAGGTCCGACATAAGCTCGAACATGCTTGGGTAACCAATGACTATCTCATCGGTATCAATAGTCAACATAGTAAAGTTCGCTCTCGTTAGTAGAGACCCAATGTCTCTGATTTGCACGAATGGCGAGATGTGTGGCGAGATCCCACCATACCTCTCAAATTCAGCTAATTGTAAGGAACTTCTATATTATCAGAATGAATACCAGAAATAATAAACGCAAAGAATCTGGAAAAACTTTGACCTAAACCTGGTAATGTCGTCTTTACCTCAATTCGTAAAGCGTATCACCACCAAATACAGCAGCCATAAAGACTCCGTCATTCTTTAGGCTACTGTTGATACGTCTGAAGCATCCAGGAAGATCGTTGATCCAATGAAGACTCAGACAACTGATCACCATGTCGAAACTGTCAGGCTCATAGGACAGATTCTCTTCGTCGATAACTTCCTTCTTGACCTTTATACCCTCTATGATCTCAGCCTGCGACAGGAGACTCGGACTCATGTCAGCCAGCACCAATTCCTCCACGGACTCACTGAGAATCCGTTTGGATACATGACCACGGCCACATCCCAGATCAAGGACTCTACCAAACTTTCGTTTGATGTCAAATATTCTATCTACCAGCCTGTCGCCCACCTCGTCCTTAATGTAGTCATACAACTGGACATTAGCATCCTTGGCGGCGCGTTCGCGCTGCAACAGCTTTGCATTCCTGTCGAACACGTTCATCGGACTGTCGGGTGGCAACGCGGACGTCGACGCAGCATTGCACGTACCATTAAGATTATATCCGAGACTCAGTAGGTTTAGCTTACCGCATAGTATCCAGCTTCTCCTATGAAATGAAATCTTTGACGTCATTTCTCAATCGCACAATGATTTCGGTTGATTTTTCTTTTAAAATTAAAATTAAAAACTAATTAACTTTTCTTGTTTTGGAATATATTTATCCCTTAGACACAATTTCACTTTTTTTCTAATGCTTTTTCTAATTTTTTATACTATGAAATATTTCATCGTCATAATTAATTTGTTGATATTTTCTTAGGTATTATTAATAACAAATTTACGGCTTAAACCGATTCAACTTAATCAGCTGTTCCGGTTGCTCCGGTCAGAGAGAAACCTGAGAAGGGCCATGCCGGCCTTTTTCCTGTTACCATTGGCTGCGTTCAGCAGAGAAAGCAGCTTTGCAAACGCAGCCATTGAAATCGCCTAGAGATCCTCTAATCAGAGTCGCGAAATAACGTCAATAAGGTTAGGTCGAAGATGCCATTTTTCAGCAAAAACCGGAAGTAGCGATTATACGACTACGAACACCATCACAGTTGCAATGAAAAGACTATTTAATGTGATACATTAACCTAATACGTGTGAATCTAAATACAGTTGTCAGAAAGAAGTTACATTATTATATTTTTTATATTAATACTGTATTTCATAAAATTATATTTTCTAAAATGACTGGTTGTTCTGCGCCAGACTGTAACAATTCTGCAAAAAAGGATTATATTATGAAAGTTTTTCCTCGTAAAAAAAGCAAAATGGGCAGCAAATGTAGGTCGACCAAATTGGACTCCAACTAATGCTTCATATCTCTGCGAGATTAGTGTTGTGGAAAAGTATTATTTAATATTTTACATAAAATAATACTTTTTTTATTTTGTATATATTATTGTATATATATTGTATATATTTATTTTGTAATACCATGGTTTAGAATTTAAATTTGACGCCATGACTATTTCCGGTTTTTGCTGAAAAATGTCCGCACCAATAAAAATTGGAAACGTTATTTCGCGACTCTGATTAGAGGGTCTCTACTTGCGACACTTTTGCGACACTGCGATGCGACTAATGTAGAACCAGCTTTATGCACTATGCATTAAGCTGGTTCTACATTGATCGCATCGCAGCGTCGCAAGCGTTGCGGTCCAATCAACGACAAGCTAGCTCGACTCTGATTGGACCGCAACGTTTGCGATATGCTTGCGACGCTGCGATGCGACTAATGTAGAACCAGCTTAAGTTCGGATCTACATTAGGTGTTTTAAGCCTTAAGCCATAAGAAATTGACCAATTACAGTCAAATCCGAGGGGAATAGTCGACTGTGATTCGACTGTGACAGGAATATTCAGTGGCGTCTTTTTCCCCTAAATCTATAATTTACATTGTTTGTGGTTATCAAGTGTTTGGCGACCATTGGCGACTTGGCGAGTTGAATGATAGAGTGCTACGCATAATAAACGCGATATTTTGAACGGTAATTATTTAGAATAGCTAGGTACCTCGTCTCCGATTTTGATGAAATTAGGCTCATTCGACGCGTTTTCACTCAAAACGAAGGAATCTGGCAGAAAAAATTGGCGGTCTGCCCGGCGAACTGAGATATTAAGCGTTAAAGTTGACGACTGTTGAGATTAGGAAACCTGTCACAGTCACGCAAAACATTGCTAAATTATAATCCATGTAGACAGTGGGATATGTAGACAGTAGTACTTACAAAAAAATAATATGTCCTACCCGCTTGGGGCCTAATCGCCTAGAAGTTGCAGTCTAGACAGAGTCCGCTTGGAATATTTCTAACCCATGAAGACAGTGGGGTGTGAGAACAGTCTTTAGAGACAGTAAGTAAAAACCCATTTGGAATTCGGGGTCAGGATAATATTTCTAAAACCTATTTTTAAAGACATATAGGCTTTAAAAATACTATTCTCACACCCCACTGTCTTCATGAGTTAGAAATATTCCAAGCGGACACCGTCTAGGCTGCAACTTCTTGGCCCCAAACAGGTAGGATGTTATTTTTTTTTTGTAAGCACTACTGTCTACACACTCCACTGTCTACATGAGTTATAACTTCGCAATGTTGCATGGCTGTGACAGATTTCCTAACTTCAACAGTCGTCAACTTTAAAACTGATTCTATGAGTCGGTAGTCCTAAGTCTTATCGGTGAATCGGTGGAGTTGGCCAACAGCCAACTTGTACGACTAAAACTATTTTCTTAAGACTGACCAAATTCTATTTTATTCCTTTCCATTAATCCAGCTAAACGACTCGCTGTACAATTAACAACTAGTAGATGCAAAAAATCATAGTCACCTATTTAGGTTAAAACTGATTAAGATTTCCGATTACCGACTCACTGTAGAATCAGCATAATATCTCGGTTTGCAGGACCGACCACCAACTTTTTCTGCCAGATTCTTTTGTTTTGAGTGATAACGCGTCGAATGAGTCTAATTTCATCAAAATCGGAGGTGAGGTAGCTATTCTAAATAATTACCTTTTGAACATTTTAAAGATTAACCGGATTAACGTTATACACACGTTATTGAAATACTGAAACTCTAACCATGGCGGATGTTTTGGATATCGATAACGCTGAGGAGTTTGAGGTCGATGACGAAGGAGATCGTGAGTCTTCATTATATTTTGCGAGCATTGTAACTTCAACTTCGTACCGAGATTTGATCATTTCACTTCGTATTTATGTTCCTTACTAAACCGAGCACGGTGTCTCCCTATAAAGTTATTAAAACATTTTATCAAAATTGAAGGTGAGGTAGCTCAACTGAATAATTATCAAATTTTGAAGCGGTTTTTCGCAATTATTCAATGTCTAATATTGATGGTGCAAGTATCGAACTTGTTTGAAATCATTAGACAGAAAATATGGAAGAAATAACAATAGTATTCGGATCATAACAATGTGAATGATGTAAACAATTGTTTTGATTGGTATGTTTCCAGAGGGTATCGCGCGTCTTAAGGAAAAAGCGAAGAAAAGGAAAGGTAGAGGCCATGGCGCGGAATTGGTATCTACGAGAGACGATGTTGGGCATTACGAATCCATGAATCTTGTTGAAGAAGACGACAATGAGCCTGGTCCTCAGAGATGTAAGAAGATCTTTCTCATAGCTTTGTTAATTCAATTTGAATTACAGTACTTATTTTTTATTTTTATTTGTAAGATCAGAACAATTAATATTCTTCATACATTTTTAGCTGTGGAAGGATGGATCTTATTTATAAATTCAGTACATGAAGAGGCACAGGAGGATGATATTCAGGACAAGTTCTCTGAGTTTGGCCAAATCAAGAACTTGCATTTGAATCTGGATAGAAGAACAGGATTTCTGAAAGGCTATGCGTTAGTAGAATATGAAACTTTTAAAGAAGCACAAGCTGCGAAGGAGGCTCTAAATGGTACAGAAATCCTAGGTCAAGCTATCTCTGTAGATTGGTGCTTTGTAAAAGGACCAAAAAAGTAAGTATTATTTTATCATTATTTAAATACAATTATTTAAAGTGATATACTATTTGGATTCATATCGATATTTATATTCTACATTTTTATAGAATCAGGAAGAAAAGTCACAGAAGGCGATGAGAGTTATAGATTAATGACTATAATCATATCTTCTATTGTATATCATTATTTCAAACAAAACAAGTTATATTATATTTGATAAGCATTTTTTAAAATGCTCGAAATAACTATAAATTATTTTCTTCACTAGGATTTTTGCTCTTTTGCTCCTATATCTATTCCTATATATCTATTCATAATCTACCCAGACGTAAAGAACTTTGTATGCTATCAAAAATAGATCATGAATACATATATCATCCAGATATAGTCTCTTGTATAAGAGAGAACTTTAATATTTTATGTGAATATCTCAGTTTGTTTTCTTTCATACACCCTTATCTAGCAATAATTTTTGGTTTCACATTTATTACCATGCTCTGTACCAGTTTGTGTAAAATAAATGTTATTAAAATCTTATTTTTGTAGTGATACAACTTTTATATATACAATAATTATATATAAACTTTTCCCCGGGTATCCCAGAGCTCTGATTGGACGGCTCGCTATTCCCTGTTGCCTGTGCCCATTGTGATTACGTTTATACGGCTCGATTTACCCCGGATCTACAATAGGTGTTTTAAGCCTTAAGTCATAAGAAATTGACCAATTATAGTCGAATTCCAGGGGAATAATCGACTATGATTCGTCCATTTCTTATGGCTTAAGGCTTAACACTCTATTGTAGATCCGGTGTTACGCCAAAGTTATAACATCGATGTTATGAAATTGGCCAATCATAGCTGTTCCTCGGAAGAATGGAACGACTGTGATCGGCCAGTTTCATAACTACGGATGTTATTAAACCCGATTAAGGCTGCGGTCCACTTGACGCTTCGAAGCATTTGAGCGACCAATCAGAACAAAGAATTTTACGAATTGACTAATCAAAGAATGCTTCGAAGCGTTTGTAGCGTCAAGTAGACCGTAGCCCAAGGGTATTGTGTAAATATAGTCAGTGAGTGATTGTAGTACTGAATGCACTCAATAGAGGTATATTCGCGTCGCAAGCTCCAATATGCTCCAACATGCTCTATCATAGCTCTTACTCACTCCAACGCGGTTGGTAGAGTGAGTAGGAGCTATAAGTAGCATGTTGGAGCATGTTGGAGCTTGCGACGCGAACAAACCTCTAATATGGCGTCACTTCGGAGTTCGATGGCGCTGCGGTATGACACCCCTCTGGCTCTCTTTACGGTGTCGACGCCGTACTTTGCGTCGCGTTTAGTGAGATACCGCGTTTTTATCCGGTAAAATTTATAGAAATCCTTCGGATTTCTAGCTAGAAAAATGGTTCAAAAAAAGGTAAGATTATCGAATCATCGTGCGCGAATAATATTTTTGTTAAGCGGTGTCTACTGAGTCGAATATCCACGTTTGGATTTACTCGAATCTCGAGTATATTCTCCAGCGTGTAGCCCAAAAATATGTTTCGTTCCACAGTCAATTAGTTCAGTAATTATATAATGTGATAATTGCAATCCTCCGAAATCCTACTTTTGCAGAAAAATGCTATTTCCAGGTACAACAACGATCAAACAAATCGATTCATTCACGTGACATCAATCTAACATTTTATAACCTAATTTCATACAAATTAATTTCGTAGATCTCTGAAAATTGAAAGATTGGCGTTCAGCAATAAGCGCATAATTTTCATGAGATAAAGGAAATTAAATTGTTGGATTCTTAAAAGATATTTCTTGCATAAAAATAATTCTAATTTAGTTCTACATATTTTGTTAAAATTACACGAATATATTACGAAGAAACTTTAAAACTCGACTATAACTGCACGTGAAAATTAATTTATTCCTATATAACTTCCCTTTATAATTTCAGCCTAAGAAGAAGGTTGGGAAGAAGGTAGCTGCTGCACCATTGGCAGTTAAAAAGGTTGAACCAAAAAAAGTGACCAACCCACTCTTTGAGAAACGAACACGTAACTTTGGCATTGGTAAGTCAGTTTATAGTATAATTTTTCTGATTTCTGGTTAATACAGTAGAACTCTGTTTATCTGCATTATATTTGTTTCTGTTTTCACTCTAATACAGATTAAATAAAGATAAACTCAACATATTCAACTTCAGTTTTCTAAGTTTCAGCTCCTGTTATCAGAATTAATAAGTACTGGTAGAAGGGAAAGCAAATCAATCTCTGTTATCTAAATCTTTCGATTATCGGAACTGTTTTATCCCCTGACATGTTTGAATAAACAGAATTATACTGTATTTTATAATCTATATAGAACAGTCACTTGTTACTGTAAAATTCCATTAAAATTTAGGCCAGGACATTCAACCGGCTCGTGATCTCAGCCGCTTTGTAAAATGGCCCAAATATATCCGCATTCAGCGTCAAAGATCTGTCTTGCAGAAGAGGTTGAAGGTACCTCCGACGATAAACCAGTTCACACAAACATTGGATAAACAAACCGGTAAGATGTATATTTCATATAATTTAAAGAATTTTTAAATCCTATTTATATGCATATGGAAAAAAATATAATACAACATTGTTCTTATGTTGTAGCTACACAGTTATTCAAGGTATTGGAAAAGTACCGTCCTGAATCAGCAGCCATGAAGAAGGCAAGGTTGAAGGCAAGAGCTGAACAAAAGATTGCAAAGAAGGAAGATACGCCGACAAAAAAACCTAACGTCATTCGCAGTGGAACCAACACAGTGACTACGCTGGTGGAGCAGAAGAAAGCTCAACTAGTTGTTATAGCTCATGATGTTGATCCTATTGAGGTTAGTTATGAGAGTTGGTAGACTTTTTTTTTACATCGCGTTTCTTTTTAAATATGTTTTTAATGGTTCAAACAGTACTATAAAAAAATATATTTAAAACATTAAAAACATCAATTAATGTTTTAAACTGTTTAAAACATGTTTTTTTATCAACTCTGTTACTCGTCTAAATGTTTGATTCATAGTAGATTTATATTGTACTAATTTTCATTCTATTTAACTATGATGCTTGAATTTCTTCACCTGAGAATATAAATGCTTTTAACATTTGTATTCAAGGAATGATATATGACATCTGAGTGCCATCTTATATTACTATATATATTTGCAAGAAATTATATGTACCAACCTAATCAGTTTTCTCTTTATTGATACAGATTGTATTATTCCTTCCTGCCTTGTGTCGTAAAATGGGTGTACCATACTGTATTGTTAAAGGCAAGGCCCGTTTGGGACGTCTGGTTAGACGTAAAACCTGCTCAACAGTTGCCCTTACTCAAGTACGTAATTATATCCAATTCTTGTATTTTTGTTTTAATTTGCATTTAATTAAACTAAATTATTTTATGATGAATACTCAAGAGCCAATCCAATGATATACTATGAAATTAAAATTATACTTATCTGATACGCATTTACAAAAATCTGGTCCTTCTCTTTTATTTTAGTTTTATTAAAATATATTATTATTATTTCAGGTGGATTCTGGCGATAGAGCCAACTTCGCGAAGATTGTTGAAGCCATTAAAACGAACTTTAATGATCGATATGATGAAATCAGGCGTCACTGGGGCGGTGGTTTATTGGGAAGCAAATCTGCAGCAAGGATAGCGAAATTAGAAAAAGCTAAGGCGAAGGAACTCGCACAAAAACAAGGTTAAGATCATTGCCCTTATCATCTACAGATTATATAAAAAAATAAAAGATAAAAGAAATTTAGTACTGTATTTATTTGATAAAAGTGTCCCCACATTTATATTGCTCTTTCATTTTCGTATAAAGAATCTTTATTATATATATATATATATTTTAAGATAAGATAAAATTTCTAAATTAACTATATACAGTTACAATGAATATTGTATCTAATATCCTCAAATTCGTTTCTTGATGAGCTTTTCTAGTCTCTTAATTCTTCCAGCTTCATGTTCCGGACTATTATGTACTATACGATTTTTCGCAGCCTCTGCGACATCCGTGTTTTCAGATTGTTTAAATTGCTTAAGCAATTGATCTTGGTCCGTCTTTTTCAATCCCTAAAATGTATATATTAATTACATTAGATGATTAGATTATTGATGAAAAATAAGATAGACTAATAGAATTTTACTTATCGCAAAAATTACCTTCATATCTAAAATTTTTTGGAATTCTGAGGACTGCAAGTCAGGTAAGCGTATATTGCACTGTTTCACGAAATCACTAGGAGATTCAATTGGGGACATTACAATCTTCAATATCATTTCAGCATTTGCCATACCTTTCACTACAACCTATATTATAAATAATATGTTAAATAACGAATGTGTACTTTAATAAATTTAATATTGTCTACTTTCTAAAGTATTCAATTACTTTTGTGTATGTTACTGGAGCTTTTCTCTGTATTTGATAACCTGTCAATGGAAGATCCAGTAGGGCTGTTTTCAACATATGGACGTCTAACAACAATTGTTCTGCGCCAACGGCATTTAATGGCTTGCATTTAAATAATTGCTGTACTAATTTTGCTATGAAAGAACTGAAACAAAGCATCAAGTATTAGAGAAATTCGAAAAGTATCACGTGTATAAGTATACGATAAATATTTTACCTGGCGAACTTGACACAAAGCTGTGTGAAGTATTTTCTACAAGAAGATAGTCTATCTCGTATGGTTGGTATTGTTTGTCGAAGGTGTGCTATTATCGTATTAACATAATTACTCTGATCACCTACGATTTCCACAGAACTCCATTGTACCTAACAAGTAAAACAGTTACTATATTTTTATTATCTAATATTAATATTGTCTCTCTGTCAATTGTACGTTAATTTTAAATAGAATGACATTAATTTTATTTCTATATTATAGAATAATACATATAAATTATGTATAACTAATGTGTTATAATCGCATTAATCAATCTTTTTTTTATAAGTTACCTTAGTCATTGCAGTCAGTGCGGATTCACATGCTGCTTCCAGATCTTGAACTAGCAACTGGATGCAATTAGAAATAACGCTAAAAACAAATGACAGAAATTAATAAATCAATAATAAAATTTTCTAAAATATGTATATAAAAATAAGAAAAAAAAGAGAAGATATACTTGTGGAAGATATCCTGTTCTTGAGATAAATTAATTTTTTCCGAACAGCATTCATCTGTCTTTCCACGAAGTTTCTCCTCTAACTGCTGTGTCGTTTCTAAACAATATTCCGCTGTTGTCAAAATACTGAAAAAAGTATACTTCAATAATTATTCACTTTGTTTTGTGGAAATAAATTCGTAATATATTTACCAGCATATACGAGATTGCTCCTCTTTGCTAAATCTGGCAG